TATAAATATGTATTTCTATACTTTAATAGTTTTTTTCTTCTTTTAGCTTTGTTCGAGTTTGCACTATTTGAGAATAGCTGTGGCTCTAACAGGAGCTACCATGCGGGTCAGAGTGGCTTTGTGAGCAACAGCAATTAAGTGTTGGTTACATGATCCTCAAAACCACAGAGGTGTTGTTGCCGGGCGTATTTTATCATTATACAAAGGACTGAAGTTAAAAGTAATAATTATTTCTTATGTCAAATTACTAATAATATTGACATTAATTATGAAGACAGTTTCCGACTTGTTTTCTTCGCTAATTGCTAACACTATGGCGAAGAAACAGTCTGTATGTTAATGAAGAATGAGTTCAATGAATAAATAACTAATGCAAGGGTTCGCTAGAAAATCTACCAAGATTTATAACTTATGGACATAATCTTAGCAAGATAGGATACGGGAAAAACACCGCGTTGATACCAGATTTATGAAGAAAACAGAACTCTAGAAAGTGCCCTGTTAAGAAAGAACGTTTTGTAGGAACATTGTTTTTGGTTGGGAAATATGCGAAATTATGGCGACATTCCTGTAACGTGGCAATCAAATATTTCCCTGACAACACTCCCCAAAATTAACCGCCTATCCCTAATGCTGTCCTAACGGTAACTTTGCGAATTGCTCTGCTTGAAAAATTCTGCTAAGTTCAATGATCATCAGAATACTTTTTCTTTAGTAAACATGTATAGAAGTGTTCTTAAAAGGCATCAAATTTATTTCCGTATTTTTTTTTTAAATTGAGACTCAACACTTTATTTGAACAAAAACAGTTCTAATATATATTTTTTAATTTATTATCTATTTTCTGTTAATGTAACTTAACAAGTAAACGTATTTTCTCAGTTACAAGTTAACGTTGTGTACACGTTGTGGCCAATCTGCAAGTATGCCTTTTAGCAATTTCTACGAAACACTGTAAAAGCACTGTAACAGCATCATTTTGTTAGCTCTAGTAAAGGAAATCAAGGAGAAAGTACCATCTATTAACTGCAAGAAGAATAATGTCCCGTAATCAGAAAAAGACACTGCCTAAGTGGTGATCTGTGTAATGGAGACGTCACAATGAAATTTAACTGTATAGTGGAGTAAGTGACGAGATAAACATGTGACATAGAAATTCAAAGGCACTTAGCGAATAGGGGGAAATATAGAGCAAAACTAAGCAAAGTAAAAAGAGAAATAGGAAATCTTAAAAAACTGATGAGTGCAATATTTAATCAACTCTACGACTGGAAAAACTTCACTACCTTCTCGCAAATGAAACAAAAAGCGATTTGAAGTGAGAGGAAAAAGACATTTCAAGAATACCAGGAACAGAGCATTTTTAAGGGAAATAGGAACAACAAAGGAACCTATAATTACAATCAGAAGGGGACAGTTGACAGTTCTGGCATATATTACCAAGGAAAATAAAACAAAATGAAAAGGAATAAATGAAAAACATGACTTCTCTGAAATGATTTATCTTCGACATCCGAAAGATCATCTCTTTTCCTATCATCCGGGATTTGAAATTGATGTGGCCACATTCTCAGCGGGGGAAAATGGTAAAAGAGGGCAGAATGAAAGCAAGAAAAGTGTGGTAATAAAATAAGCTCATCCCGTACTCCCTTCTCGCTTGCAATCATCACTTACAATAGAATTAAACGTTTTCAACGCTAATGTTGAATTAGTCTAATAACGCTTCATAAGCTTCTACTTGGTGTTGTTACTATTTATTCTACACAGAGGAAAGCAATGAATATCTTGGTAAAAAGAGCAACAAAAGACAGGAAGTCGTGGAGAGTCTTCATCAAATATGGCCTACTATATCTGTCGAAATTTGAGTGAGAATCGAAAGTTTTCTCACTAACAGATAACATTATTTTTTAATAAGCTTTAATTAGCTTTCTGTGGTGAAGGTAGTCATATTTGTCTCCCCCTCGAACTAATCTACGATAAAAAGTAATGCTTGAACCTTACATATGTACAATGGACTAACTGCATTGAATAAAACAACATTACACTCTTAAAGGCTTGTATGTTTAATTTACAATTTCCTTTGCTGGATTTGTTGCATTTTATAACAACATTTATTAAGTGGTTCATTCTTAGTTCATTTAAAAGAAATTCATTTTAATCTCATTTTGGTGGATTTTATTATACATATGTAAATTCTCATAATCACCAAATACCTGTTGTAAGAATATCTGGAAAGAAAATTCTGTTTGAAACACAATTTTTACATGAAACTAATTCACACTATCACTAATATATATTTATAGTAGTTTTCTGGCTGTGCATGTTCGTTTTGCGAAAAATATAAAATTGCCAATTACTGAAAATAAATCAGTAGAAAGCATCTGATGGTGATTTCACAGGGGCGCCGCCATTTTGTTTTCTATTGATTAATCTGCTCTGTAAATGAGGTTAAATGACATTCCCCAAAACAAAATATACCCTCCACCAAAAAGAGCCCATTAAAGCGCTGTCTTTCACCCTTAATCATTTCCGGTATAAAAGATCGCTATTTAATTTATGCCACAAAAGCTAGTGACCAACATTTCACGCTGACTTGAAATACATATGTGTGTGCGTAGACTGCAGACAATTTAAATTTAAAAAAGATGTATAAATACGTCGACGGCAGTGGAAGAGTTAAACAAAATGTAAGATAACAAATATATTCAATTTTAGCAATTTGTCAAATTTACGATTTTCCGTTTGAAATAGAATAGCGATTATTAGAAATGATTTCTGAAATATTTACTCAATTGTAACGGTAGATTTTGTAGAATTTCTGAATCAAAACAAAAGAAAATTTACTCATATATTCAGAAAATTGGAAGAAAAATACCTTTCCAAGGTAGAAACAAAAAACACATTCTTGTCAAAAAATTCACTTACAGAGTATTGTCAACAACAGTCAACTTTAATGGTATTCACAATGTTACGAATAAAAGTACAAGCTAATACTACTAATGAACAGATACTTACAATAGGTGAAAAACAACGAAAGGATTAAAAGAAAAAAAATGATTTCTGTGAAATAATTTATCTTTCGACATCCGAACGATCGTCTGTTTTCCTATCATTCGGGATTTGAAATTGATGTGGCCAAAATCTCCACGGAGAAAATGGTAAGACATGATTGTCTTGAGTGCCAAACGAAAACAAAGAGAAAGGCAAAAAAAATTATGTTCGGTGAATTATAATGAGATTTATAACGGAGACAATAAAATGAACTTGTCCCGGTTCGCTCTTCCATTCTTCGCGTAAACGCTATAATCAGAAACCTCAGCTGTCCACGTGAGAATTCAATCGATTTTCTCTTGAAGGCTGACTTGAAATAATACAGACTTCAGCAAGAATCGAATTGTTATCTAATATATTTAACATATTAATACAACGTATAGTAAAGCCTTGACAAGAGAAACGATTTCCGGCTATGGAAAAGAAAGACCTTTCATTCGGTATAGATTGTCTTATGTCGGTTTAATCTTTGTCGACTTCTATGCCGTAAAGAAAGTGTGCCGATATTTCACGAGTTACATTCACTAAGGCAAAGACAAAGTTCATAACGGACAATTACATTTTGGAAACATTTAAAGTTTCTGGAATCTGAAATAATTTCAATTATCCTAAGCACTTCATGTAGGATAGAAAATGGCAACTGGTTGGCCTTGTCTCGAGTTGACGTGGAACAGTGATTCACAATAATATTTATTTCCCATAGGCATATAATAATGGTATATTTAAGAACTAGAACAGCTTAGCGAAAGGACGCCGCGTATCTCTCTGCTGCAACCGCTACTGAACGCCACCACTGGGATTTGAACTTGATTTACACAGTTGAATATTGAATGTCAAGTTTTGATTTCATTTCTCGTTTTGTCCATAAATTCTAGAGAGAGAACGACTTATTTTCGGCATACGTTAAGTTGGCGAAGTACAATCATACAAGAGATCGAATAATTGATTACCGAAATCGTATCTGATTTAGAATCAGTCGATGGGCAGAATACGGAATAAGAGATAATAATTTCTTTCTTTTTTGTTGTCCGGAGAAAGTATATGTACTGGGCATTTTACTGATCTTCTTAATGGAGTTCTCCTTCAACTAAAATCGCACAACTAGCATTAAATCAACCCCACTGATGCGAAGCGTGATGTTTCTATATATCTCTTTATTCTTTCTTATAAATTCATATGAATTCAAGTTCGAATTCCCGTTTGACACAAACGGCACAAGGAAAATCAAGAATAATTTCTCTCCGCTATCATATAACTGCCACAAGGTAACAATAGAAATAGGGAAAAAACGAGCAACTCGCTTTGATAAAGCATAAATGCAACTCTAAATAACACAATCCAGAAGTTTTGCCAACAACTCTTATTTAATTTAATATAATAATAATAATAATAATAATAATTATTATTATTATTATTATTATTATACAGACAGCACTTATTAATCTTGCTTAAAAATAATACCTCTTCCTTCAATAGCATATTGATTAAATATAATTAAAATATATATATATATATATATACATACATACAAACACATACATATATATATATATATATATATATATATATATATATATATATATATATATATATATATATATATATATATATATATATATATATATATATATATATATAGCAATTAGGGGATATTGTATATGACATTCTTATGATTATAAATTTAGAAGGATTACTTTCGTGGATACCCTTTATACAAAGGGTGTTCACTGAAAATACATGTATCCTCTAAATATAACGTTTATATATATATATATATATATATATATATATATATATATATATATATATATATATATATAAATAAGAGTGTTCGAGACTGGTATTTCAACCCTGGCAAATGAGTTTGACTATAGAACAGACTTTGTGTCCACATTTCTTATATTTACACTTAATCTATCCACTATATTGAGCACTTTACCCTCTAATAGAATGCCTTGAAACCGTGAAACTGTATTCTTTCTATCTATCTATCTATCTATCTATCTATCTATCTATCTATCTTATAGGTATATCTGTGTGTGTGTGTGTGTGTGTGTGTGTGTGTGTGTGTGTGTGTGTGTGTTCCCCGAATTTAATTAGTATAAATTCTGGCATTAATTAAAAATATTTGATGATTCACAACAGAATTTTAGGATTTTAAATTAAAATTTAGGATTGCAGATATCTGTATTTATTTTCAGTAAATACAATAAAGAAACGGGTTGTTATTGGCCAGGAATTAATCCAAAAGTTTAATGCATATATACTGACCAACTGAAAACGCTTGGTGTTTGGCGTTAAACACGATATATAATAATTTACTTCTGTTTATCTCATTTAAACAAATTACCCCCATAAAACAGTATTAAACGCGTTATCTCTTTCGATATATAGAGAGGCACACCACTTCTGATCTGGAATATTACAATCTATGACCATAATCTTCTGCTTTTCGGGAAGCAGTGCTTCATTACTTGCTTTGATTATGCTATTCAAATCCACTTTGATATATTGTGACTCAAGCCCACCAAAAAGTTACATCGTTTCTACCCACTTTCCTTCATTTGTATTCAGTAAAGAAGTCATTGTACAATCATTATGTCTCTTGTTGTTTTACGACGCCATTTTGTTAAAGATGTCACGTTCTCATTGTATCCGGTTTTCTATTCTCTGATGGATTAATTGGACTCGATTTGTTAATGTTCGTTTATTTTTTATTTTTATAATCGTGTCCTTTTAATTCGTTATTCATTCTTAAAGGATTAAAATTCTTCTTTTTTTCTTTTCCTTAGTTATTTCTTTGCGGTCACATTTCATGTTACTGCAAATAAACTACCAAAAATCACCAACAGATTCGAACGGAATAAGTTCAACCGACTTTCCGATGTAAAATGTCTAAGAACATGACAACAACCATTTTAATTATTGATGATTTCTCATGTCATTAGAAGCAATCCCTCAAAAATATAATCCTTATCCCATAACTCTTCCATGTGCCTTTAACCTATGAGCGATTAATGCTCTCTACAACCCTCTATACTTTACTTGGTAAGTTCTATCTTTTTAGTATCTTTCATAATTCTTGTTCTCTTATTTTCATAAGTCTTTTTAGTTAGTTTATTAGCTATTTACCTTTGTTCACCTGGCTTTACATAAGCCCTGTAAGTGTCAAATTCCCCAAATCATGTTTCCTCATTATGTACTCTTCTCTCTTTCTGATTCTAAATAGAATTTATTTTTTTTTGTTTTCATTTCCCTAAAACATAGTCGTTGCTCCCATGTTCGGCCCATGCATTCTCAGCATCCTTCTGTAGAAACACTTTTCTGTCGCCGCGGTTATCTTCTTCATCTGTGAGGAAATTGTCCAGGATTCATTGGCATTGCCTTAAACATACCGTAAATCGTTCGGCGTATAAGTCGAGATTTCAAGCCTAAAAAAACTATTTCCAAAACTAGGAGATATAAAATGCAAACCTTTAGCACCGAGTTGTAAACAAGTTGGACATCACTACTAACTGTTATTGTACAAAGCATAACATAACTCCGGCAGGCTGCTACAAATATCTCCTACTAAACTTGTGTTTGGTGATCATATTTGCAATATTAACGCAGAAATTAATATAAAATAAGAAAATAGTAATATAAATTCATTGTTCTCTTAACGCTACAGCAATCATCGCGTTCAACAGCGGGTAAACTAAGTGTAAACACGGGCCGAAGAGCCATTAAGACAACTAGGTATGCTATGCGTGACATCTGCAAAATTTTATGGTAGTAATGACAGTTTAATGGATGACATTTTATTAAATATACTATATACAGTGTAACCCGGATATAAAAGAGTTGTCGGGACCAGAGAAGAAGTCTCTTATATCCGGGTTTCTCTTATATCCGAGTTTGGTCTATTTTATATACATTAACACAGGCTCTAATTTGGGACCAGTGAAACTCTCTCTTATATCCGGGTTTCTCTTATATCCGTGTCTCTTATATCCGGGTTACACTGTACATCATTTACCAGTAGGACAAAATTTTGGACTACTAGTAAAGTACAGTATGATTGGAGATCAACTTATACGATATGTATAGGCCTAACTCAGAATTTTGACCTAAAAATCTTCAGGTCGACTTGTACGACAATATACAGTATAAAACAATTGTAACCTAGAGAGGGTTACTGAATAGAATAATCACACGAAGGTTGGTAATAAACGATAATACTTAGGACACGAACAACACATATAAGATTCGCTAGCGGAGCGTAGAATAATTAGTCAATTATTAGAAGTGAGTCAAATTAATTCTACAATGAATCTCCAACTGCAGTATATCTACCAACCTTCCCACGCGGTCAGAAGTGACACAAGGCCGAATTTAATGTAGAGTATCCGAGCCCGTAGGATCAGATAAAAATTCCCGGTAGACTCCGTATAAAACTGGGTCGGGTAGCTGTTTCCAGAGACGAACTCTGGACTTCGACATAATCTCGTCTGGGGTTCCTTTCTGCCCGAAGGCAGAGAGTTTGACCAGCACAGCTGGAGAATAATCTCCAACTGCAGGATATCTACCAACCGCTCCACGTGTTCAGATATGGCACAAGGCCAAATTTAATGTGGGGTACCCGAGCCCGTACGATCGGCCAAAAATTTTCCGTAGACCCCGCATAAAACGGGGTCGGGTAGCTGTTTCCCGTGATGAGACTCTACCCTTCGACATAGACTCGTCTGGAGATTCTCTCTGCCTCTAGGCTGAGAGTTTGACCAGCACAGCTGGAGACCTATCTCCAACTGCAGACCAACATACAGTATTTACTACTGTATTTATATGAATGGGGACATACCTATTATGGTTCGGAGTTATGCTACAACAAAAACAATGCTGGAATTTCTTTTAATATATTCATGGAAATACAAAGATTTGCTGAAAATCTGCTCCTCTTCGTACAGTCAGAATCATCTAAGGTCACAATAATAATTATTTAAACATTCTGGAGAAGAGAGATAGTGCAAGTAAAATGACCGTTTCTACAATTTCTTTGACAATAAAAATTAAATTGTAAATATATAGAGTCAAGCGAGAATACAAATTGCACTCGATGTTACCCTTGTCCCTCAAGGAAGCCAGGCGCAGGTTCTATAAATGACAGCTTGACTGATTCAGTATAGAAACTCACAGATATACCTCGCCTGCGAATGGGGGAACAAGAAGGAGATAGAAATATAAACACCCAAGCCCATGTGTGTGTACATGTGTGGATAGAGTCTCTCAAACATCGCAGAAGACAATGCTTTAGATGACGGCATCCTAGACCGTATATCCCGCACACACACTTTTTGGCGCTAATTGGCAAACTATGGAGGGAAATAAAAATAAATTATAAATATGATAGTTTAGATTCGTGATATTTCATTACACATACAAACACACACACACATATACAGAGATATAGATGTACAGGTATCCTACCATTAATGCTGCTAATGTGTAAATCGGTAACTATAAAAAAATCCGTTTTCAATTCAGTCAGCCAGTTATGTACCATGCGTGATACACGCTTACCCGATCATGTATTTTTCGATACATTACTGACGAGGCAGATTTTATTTAGGTTGCGATTTCTTTCTGCGGTAGACCAATTGCCATCCAAGGCTATAGAGCCAGGTCTGTTCTTCGATTCACCCATATATAGGAGGAGAAGAAATGGATTTATACATTTCCCAAAGATATTAGCACGTAAGTGAATTCGAACTCGACTCTCTGATAATTACTATGGTTAAATTGAAGAATTTTTACCGCACAAATCAAGTATTATGTATGCTAATGTAATCGAATTTTAGTAATTAGCGCACTAATCGAAAACGCATAAATCGAATGCACTTTCATCGAGGGATGCCTGTATACCTATATATTGATACATATCAGTTTGCCATTGTTTTACATGAATTTGACCTTTAAGAGTATTAATGACAGATGTACAGGTATCCTACTATTATGACTCGTTGATAATACCTTAAATTACATGAGAATGTCATAGGAGATAACTGTAAAATGAAACTCACGAACTCATATGGGAAGTTTCAGATTCCGGAAATATTTTTATTAACAGGAAGGTGGAAACATACAGCAATAACAATTCGACAAAATTTGGATTTCCTCTTGTATTGTTATGATGAAGAACACACCGGAAATAAGACTAAACGTAAACCATTTTCTTTACCTGAAACGTACCTTTGTTCCATGAGACGAAAAAAAATACAAAATGATGAAGAGCAGGTCGAAGTTAATCAATGAACGCATTTTCAGATAAATGAGCTGCCTGTAGAAAGCCACGTCGTGAAACAAGGAAGAGTTAAAAGAAAAACCTGCCCTGAATTGACCAAGTAGTCTGTTCATTGTAAATTTATCATAATGACGTGTTTTCATAGTAGCCTTTATTTTTTTTAAGCATTACGCCCCGAGCAAGGCGTGAAGCCACTAGGATGCAGGGGGTTGTGGAAGATTTGGAGCGAGAGCAGATAGGAGTGATAGAAGAAAGGATGAGGAGAAGGATAGTGGGTAGATCAAGGTAACTGAAGGTGTCGATTGACATTACATTTGAATAGTTGGAGATTATAGCTTTCAGGGAAACAGTAATTGGGAAGGGTGTTCCACAGGCGAGAGGTGCGAGGTATGAAGCTATTGGAGTAGAAGAGACGGCTACATTTAAAAATTTTTATAGTGTAAGGGTGGGAGCGCGATGCCAGCCTCGTAGGGCGCTTGACTTCATGGAGTCTGGGAACCAGTGAAAGCAGCTCATTGGAGCAATTAACATGAAAGTATTTGTAGAAAAGACAGAGAGAGGCGACGGCGCGTCTGTTAATGAGTGACTGCAGACGAGACGCCAGATCAGGGCCAATTAGATTACATATCCTTCTCTGGATCTTGTCAAGAACTCCGAGGTAAGCAGAAGGTGCCCCAGACCATATATGGCACCAATACTCCATACAAGGGCGAATGGTTGTTTTGTATATTTGAAGTATCGATTCAGGGGAGAAAAATTTCCTGGCGAGGCACAGAGAGCAAACTTTCCTCGCGGTGGAAGTATTTACGCAGGATGTATGGTTTCTCAACGGATATTGGCACAGAAAATATGGAAGCGGTAATAAGAGAAATAATTGTGACTTTACAGTGTTTATATTCGCCTAAAGGCTTATGCGAGCACCAAATAAAATGATAAAATGTCTTCATAATATGTCACATTTAAGAGCATGCCACGTTGATTAAAGAGGATGAACTAAGAGAAATGAAAAATTTCATTCAGTACCAATTGTCTTGTTTTTCTAATCCTCGCAACTGATGATGTCAATGGAAAGCTGCTAAGATTTTACTTTGCCTTTTCTATAAATGTTTTCATGGTAATTGTTCTAATGAACTTTCCACTCTGGCAACTAGGCCTTATGAATTTACGCGCAGTAAAAGATTGGCGGCAAGGTTTTAACATATTAGAGTAGAAATAGCTAGCTTTAACAGTAATTTCTATATTAACATTTTAATTCTCCCGCATTTCTCGCAATTCCAAAGCAAGTTTTGATCTTCAAAAATTTAAATGCAATGCTAATATTTATCTTTTTCTTCTTAATTTCTTATATTTTATTGTTCTCCCTTCCTAATAGTACTTTTTCCACATATTCACTCACACTCAGTAATTTCTTGCGTCGTAGTGGCTTTGTTAACTTTCTTGAGGTGAAATGATTAACAAAAAGAGCGTAGTTATGTAAAGTATTATAGCATATCGACACTTGGGATCATAAAGTCATTGTAAACTTCGCGATTCATTAACTGGCTGCAGAGTATGTATTTTGTCAGGATTACATATGGTTTAGGTTTCTGTTTCCGGAGTCTTCCGAGAGG